TAGTTAGGTAGGGGACGGGTAGGACGACACATGTGTAGTATATATATATATATACACACGTACATATATATATATATATATATATATATATATATTACTACCTCCTTCACAAGTATAAGTAACTTTTAGGATCTAATAGGGGCAGGCAATCATGGATATAGTGCTACCTACTGTAATACTACCTCCTTAACAAGTACCTTTCAGGATCTAAAAGGAGCAGGCAATCATGGATATAGTGCTACCTACTGTGATACTACCTCCTTAACAAGTACCCTTTAGGATCTAATAGGGGCTTGCAATCATGGATATAGTGCTACCCACTGTAATACTACCTCCTTAACAAGTACCTTTTAGGAACTAATAGGGGCAGGCAATCATGGATATAGTGCTACCTACTGTAATACTACCTCCTTAACAAGTACCTTTTAGGGTCTAATAAGGGCAGGCAATCGGACAGCAATTCCAGCGCGGCTGTTTGGAAACCGGTATGTACATCGACATTCATTACGGGATCATGCGTCACGGAGTACGAGAAATCCAAAAGCAGCTGTGGATTTAGATTAATTAGGATTCGTAATTCGGGTTCGAAATTAGGATTTTGGTGGTCTGAAAATACGATTTTTAGGGTTGAGGGAGATATTAAGAAACTCCCGAAAATCGGGAGAACGACAAGTGGTTTTGGTTTGATATGATTGGTGTGCGATCCTTCCAGCAATCGATAATGGCAGAAGGCACTGTGCATATCCCAAAGAATTCTGATACGAGCACTACACGACCCAATCAAAAGAGCTCTATAAATAGAACTCAAGCCCTAACCCTAAACCCTGACCCTCGGAAGTAAACGAAGGTACGGGATAACCAGGTGTATGTCCAGTCCGCACTTGTTTGGAGTTAGAACAGGACACTGTCTGCGAGGCTAGCTATGCCTAACAAAACCCTAGATTTCAGAACCTAGTTCCTAGACAGTTCGATACTGTGCCGCCCCAGGAACAGTGGACACCTAGTTTAGCAGGGACAACACTTGCGCATGCAAACCTTAGCTAAAACCTAGAAACCCTACCCCATTCAGTGGGCTAGACCCAATGAAGTGGATCAGGGCGGCTGTACGCGACTACACCTCCTGCAATCGCTAGACCAACTAGCAAACCCACGAGACCTCCCGTCGGATAGTTTCGTTCGCTGAGACTTTGTAGTGCCAGATATAAACATGAGACCGCTACGCTACGCTACATGTACGCGCACACGCAGGGTTTGGACGAACATATTAATTCAATGCGAGTATATGTACGGGCACATGAACCATATACAGTTAAATACAAGCATGTGTACGTGCACATACATAATATAGATAGATACACAGATCATATGCAGTCCTGCAAACAATCGCATACATAATAAACACTTACACAGATGGCGCGGATACATTACACACATGCCCATACATAGTTCAAACAAAAACACAGCACATGCACGTACGTACATAGTAACAAACGAGAGACATGACACGTATACACGTACGTGTTTCAGTTTGTAGAAATCCGTCCCGCGGATCACAATCAACTGCTCACACTCCAACCCCAGTCTTTGTCCGTGTGACGGGGGTGTCTCTTGAGCTTCCCCTTGGCGTGGTTGCCTAGCAACGTCCTCGGCCGAGTCCGTATGCGGAGGCTCAGCGCCCCCATCTCCGTTGAAGTCCTGGTTGCTTATTTGGCGTGCACTGGCGCTTATTCCCTCACGCGGTCCGTTTCGGTCCGTTTCGGTGCACCCGGACAGGTGCGTAAGACCGGACAACTCAGCGGAGGCAGCCTCCGCTGAGTCACGGCTTATTGGATAGGTGTCATGAAGTCCTGCTTGGGGCATCTCTCTGTGTGCGATGGGGTGTGTGGCCGCACAGGCAGTGGTGTTGGTGTTGCGGTTGGTGTTGATGTTGATGTTGATGTTTCGGTTGGTGTTCTTGTTCATGTTGGGGTTGGGATTGGGGTTCGAGTTTAAGTTGTGGTGTTCGTGTGTGCCCTCACGCGAGTGGTGGATTGTAGTGGAGTTGGTGTTCGTATTCGTATTGGTGTTTGTGTTTGTATTTGTGTTTGAGTTTGAGTTTGTGTCTGTGTTCATACGCACACAGACATTCGCATCCTCGTCTGTAGTCGCAGGTTTGCGGGTATCTATTGTTCTATTCCCACCCCCCGCTATAACCACCCCCTCGGAACACCCCCCATCCTCTGTCTCTAACCCTGACCCGTCATCACCGCCTTCTACAGTGTCTGTGCCTGTTGTGATCCCACATCCCCTATCACCCCCAACTAATAGTCTACCGCTATTGCTATTGCTATTTGTGTTGCTATTGCTATTGGTGTTTGTGTTGGTGTTATGGTTAGTATTGACATTGGTGTTCATGTACGTGGTGGTGGCTGTGAGCGTGTCTGTGTACGTAGTTGTAGTGGTGGTCGTAACGGTGTGTGTAGTCACCTGCGTGTGCGTGCCCGTGCGTGTCTGTGTGTCTGTCACCAGCTGTGTGCTCACACTCGAGTTTGTATTCGTATTCGTATTTGTATTTGTATTCATAGTAGTACCAGTACCCGTACCCGTGCCGGAACTCGTGGGACGGGTCAAACCAGTCCCCCCAGTTGAATTCGAGGTCACTTTTGCACCTAAACCCGGCGCATCGGGACTAGCTTCAGTCTCTGTCCGGGTCCGTTCGCCTGCCCCTCTCCCACTGCCTGTACCATCTCCCATACACCCCACACCCCCGACCCTGCCATTACCCCCAGACGACTCAGACACACACCCATCCGCAAGCTTGAGCTTGTGGTTCACGTATGCGTCCAGGACTTTACTTACACTCTCCTCTGTGTCGGTGGTAGGAGTCGCCTTGGCGGTACTCATCCAGTCCTGACTACCACCGGTGCTATTTAGACCACTCACCGGTGTGTCCTCAGTTGCCAGTGCACGTCGTACACCGTCGTCGTATAGTAGTGGCACTTCACTGGCCCCGTCTATAAGCAAATACGTACAGAAAGGGGAAGTGAATACGTGAATACATTTAGTTGAATATGAGTTAATGAATGTATATATATATACGTGTGTGTGTGTGGATATATATATATATATATATATCATACATACATACATACATACGTACATACACACATACATACATACATGCATGCATGCATGCATGTATACATACATACATACATACACACACACACATATATATATACACACACACACACATATATATATATACACACACAGACACACAGACACACACATACACACACACACACAAAGACACACACAGACACAGACACAGACACAGACACAGACACAGATATATATATATAGTCAGAAAGAACATACACACATGGGGATAGGTACCCTTACACACACACACACATAGGTAACATCCATAGACATACAACCACATGAATAGCTATGGACACACACCCATACCCGCAGGAACATCTAGCAGCAAGTATCGTATCTCATTCACGGCTAGCAGACGTATGCGTGGCCTGGCATGGGTGTACTTGCGCATGAGCTCCACATCCGATAGCTTGAGATCTGCGAGTATTTGGCAGTCGTCACACAGTTGTACCCAGTCTACGTACGAAGTCGCACTGTTGGACCCCACTCGCGGCTAGGGTATTGAGGGGGGGGGGGGGGTTAAATTCAGGGTGTGTGTGGTGGGGGGGGGTGGAATATAAGACCACATAAGATATGTCAGCAGAAGACCCTTGCCGTATTCGCAACCGGATCCGCCTATCATATAGGGCGTTGACCACGACTATCTTAATTGGAGTACACCATAGTAGAAACAATATGACACGATTTTGGCACATGTTTTCTCAAAATCGGGTGGAGATGGATTGGAAGTAGTCCTGTTTTGGACATAACATCTCAAAATCTCATTGAGATGGAATCGAATTCGTCCTATTTTGGCACATAACATCTCAAAATCGGGTTGAGATGGATTTAAATTAGTCCTATTTTGGCACATACCTGCTCAAAATCGACCTGTGCTCCCGTCGGCGCTTTGGAGGAATCTGTGCGAACAAAAAGTTAAACACAAATGTGAGACACCAACCAATCACACACGTGGATGGGCAGAGGAGTAGTCGCATGAATCATTTATATCAATACAACCACAACATCATATGTATCATACACAACCACGACATCAACCAATCACACACGTGGATGAGCAGAGGAGTAATCGAATGAATCATTTATATCAATACAACCACAACATCATATGTAACATATATACAAATACAACCACAACATCATATGTAACATATATACAAACACAAACACAACACCGTATGTAACATATATATAAACACAACCACAACATCATATGTATCATACACAACCACGACATCAACCAATCACACACGTGGATGAGCAGAGAAGTAGTCGTACGAAGTATTTATATAAATACAACCACTACATCATATGTATCATTTATATAAACACAACCACAACATCATATGTATCATATATATATAAACACAACCACAACATCAAATGCACACATATACTGGCATGTGATCATTAGAAATAACTGGGTCGTTCATGCATGTGCTGTAGCCGCCATAGTATGGAGGCCAAGGGTTTAGGGGTTTAGGGTTTAGGTGATTTTAGTCTCTTAGGAGTGAGGGTAGAGGGCGTACGGGTTATAGGCGTTTCGGTTCTAGGGTGAAACAAATTGAGGGGTTAAGGTTTTAGGATTAAACAGGGTTAGAGTTTAGGGTTTATAGTTTAGCATAGAGGTTTCATATGCATAACTTGCCAATATATTTTGTGCCTCCACTATTTCGCGCGTGCACGCACTCTGTTAGCTCTTCCCCACACACCCTCACGAGCGTATGTAATACTCAAGAACTCAATACCTAAAACCCTAAAACCCACACACTGAGCTAGAGCCTACACCAATCCTCTATCGTATATACATAACCCAGCGAGGGACTAGGGTTTTAGGTTTTAGGGCTTCAGGAGTTTAAAGTTTAGGGTTCTAGGGTTTAGGGATAAAACGGGTTTTAGGGTTTATCCCAACGAATTAATACCATACAGCTGGTCACACACCTTCGCCAACGGACCCCACCTGATCAGTCATCAACTGAGAATCCACCATAGCCAGCACATTCCGACTCAGCTCAGACACATGCTTTGTTCGACTGAGGGTTTAGACACAAGTGAGAAGCCGATGAATATATATGTGGCAAGGGAAGACAAATGGGATGGGAGGGGATGCGATTGAAGTGGTAGCACATGTGAAGGGGAGAGAAGGGGATGGGACGG